GGCGGGCGCCGGGCGCGGTGGCCCGGCGCGGAGGGGGAGCCCCCGAGGGGCGGTGGGCGGTCGGCGCCGCGCTGAGCGCCCCGCTCCCGCAGGTGCTCCTGGCCGCCGCCGTGTGCACGAAGGCCGGCAAGGCCATCGTGTCGCGGCAGTTCGTGGAGATGACCCGCACGCGCATCGAGGGGCTGCTGGCCGCCTTCCCCAAGCTCATGAACACCGGCAAGCAGCACACCTTCGTGGAGACGGAGAGCGTGCGCTACGTGTACCAGCCCATGGAGAAGCTCTACATGGTGCTCATCACCACCAAGAACAGCAACATCCTCGAGGACCTGGAAACGCTGCGGCTCTTCTCGCGCGTGGTAAGCGCGGGCAGGATGTTCCCCGGTGCGATGCGCTCCCAGGGCGGCGCCTCTCCGCAGCGCCCAGCGCTCCGCATGCGGGACATCGCTGCACCGCTTTTGAAGCACACGTAGGAAATCCGTGGTCGGGCTGTCAGTGCTGAGAGTGCAGGCAGGGTGCCGCAGCAAAGCTGCCGTGAAAGGCCCGCTGGAGGCTTCAGAGAGCGCCTGCCCTCCTTCCAAAGGGGTCACTGCACGGCTGATGCTGCTTCCGAGACGCTCCCCGGCAGCAGGTGGTGGCCGTTGTCTTTCCCTTGGGAGCCCCTTTCTGCCCTACACAGCCAGGGCCCCTTGGGAAGGTGTGCTGCTCTGCACTGCTGGTGCGTGTGGCTCTCTGAGTGTTCCTGCGCTGCAGAACGAAGCCGTCGGCTAAATGTTTGGAGCTAGGAAAAGCAACGTGAGCAACGTTGCCTAAGCTCTGCGTGTAGTTTATCACCAAGAGGGAGGAACGTGCGGGAGGATGTGCTGAGCCCGTCTCGTGGGGCATCCCGCACGGGCGTGGGGTGCCGGGCAGCACCGGGCGGGCTCCACCACGCTAGGCTGCTGTGCAGCTCCCACCCCACCTCTCTCCCTGCCAGATCCCCGAGTATTGCCGAGCTCTGGAGGAGAACGAGATCTCCGAGCACTGCTTTGACCTGATATTCGCCTTTGATGAAATCGTGGCGCTGGGCTACCGCGAGAACGTGAACCTGGCGCAGATCCGGACCTTCACCGAGATGGACTCGCACGAGGAGAAAGTGTTCCGAGCAGTGCGAGAGGTGAGGGGGATGACGTGCACGGGGGTCTGCGCTCTGGGAAACGCGGCCCGTGGGCACGCGTGCTCTCCCCTTTCTGTGTTACTGGTGGGGCCGTGAGCGGAGCTTGCTCTTCCCTGAGCCCAAGGAGCCCCTTTCTCGGCCTTCCGTGCGCGCTGGGTGTCAGGGCAAGTCCGCTTCGTTGGAGCTGCTGCATGGTGCAGACCAGGATCCCAAAGCGCTCTCGCCCTTTTCTCTTCCCCTTCAGACCCAGGAGCGCGAGGCAAAAGCTGAGATGCGGCGCAAAGCGAAGGAGCTGCAGCAGGCCAGGCGGGATGCCGAGAGGCAGGGCAAAAAAGCGCCGGGCTTCGGCGGCTTTGGCAGCTCGGCTGTGTCCGGCGGCCCCACCGCGGCCATGATCACGGAGACCATCATTGAAACAGAGAAGCCCAAAGTGGCGCCTGCGCCTGCCAGGTGTGTGCAGCGTGGAGCCCGCGCGGGCTGCAGCCTGCGCCCGAGGCTGAGCTTCCCCCGTCCCCACCGAGAGGCTCCTTTCTTGTCTCGTCTTGTCTGTCTACGACCCGGGGGCCCTCAAAGAGTGGGCACGCCTGGGAGCGCCACGCTGAGGTCCCCTGCGCCCTCTGCGGCGCTGGGATCTGCCGCCGCTCAGCCTGGTGGCGCTGGGCTTTGGGGGCCAGGGGCTTTCTTCTCCCTGCTCCTGCAGAGAGCAGCCAGCTCCGCGATCGCAGCTTCTCCCTGCGGATCCAGGGGAGGCTCCTGCCCCTTGGTGCTGCGTGTGCTGACCTCGAGGCCCCAGTGTGGCTGCACGCTGCGTTCTCAGGACCACTGTGGCGTAACTCCATGGCAGCCTCTTGTCCTACCCCCGAGGCCTCCCGTGATAGACTTCCCTGCCCCGAGGAAGGCTGTGGGGGTGGACCTGCCCTGGGAATGGACGAGGGCTGACGTGTCTGCTGCCGTAGCCTCACTTGGAGGCACTTGTGCCTGTTGCTCTTCAGGCCCTCAGGTCCTAGCAAAGCTCTGAAACTTGGCGCGAAAGGCAAGGAGGTGGACAACTTTGTGGACAAGCTGAAATCCGAAGGGGAACATATCATGACCTCCGTCGGCAAGCGCTCCACGGAAGCTGCCAAAGTTCTCGCTCCTCCCGTCAACATGGAGAGGTGGGTATCACGCGCACTTGGGTCGGAAAGCGCCGTGCCCGGAGCGCTCCGTACGATCCCAGCGGTACGGCGAGAGCTGTCGGGTTCCCTCCTCGGCTGCAGAACGGGTTGTCTGTCGTTAAGCTCCTGTGCGGTGCTCTCCCTTGTTAAAAGGCAGCAGACAAAAGTCTTAGCAAGCACAGCAAAAAGAAAAGGAAAAGGGCAAGGCAGATCACTCCTTTGATTAAGCGGTGCTTCAGTTGAAGTGGGATGTGCATCTGCTGTTTAGCCGAGGTTGGAGATTTTCCCTTGCTTTTTGGACTGTTGCTCTTTCCCCGTAGGTCCCCTTCAGATAAGCTTACATAGTTGCCATTTTTTCTCTTCCTCAGGCGCACAGACTTCCTGTTTACTTGTGTTGCAGGACACAGGCAGTCATAGTTTGTGTCCCGTGCAGCCCTTGAGACCCTTTGACTGCCTTTTGCCGTGAGGGAAGCTGCTGCTCGTTGAAGGCGCAGGCGGTGAAGTGCATGGCAGGATGCTGTGTCCCTGCTGGTCCGGCCTGCTGTCCCTTGCAGACTTGTGTCACTAGATCTGTGTGCCCCCAAGTTGGCCTCCCGTGCCTGCCGAACACTAGCCTAGCCAGGCAGTGAGCGGGGCGCTTCACATACTGCTCTTTCTCTGTCTAGTGTGCACATGAAGATAGAAGAAAAAATCTCCCTGACCTGTGGCCGCGATGGAGGGTTGCAGAATATGGAGCTGCATGGCATGATCGTGCTGCACATCTCCGATGAAAAGTTTGCCCGGATTCGCCTGCATGTGGAAAACGAAGACAAGAGGGGCGTGCAGTTACAGGTAAGGCCTCTCTGGTGCCCCTGCTGCCGAGCAGGATTTGCTGCTCCCCGGGGCAAAGTAGGGCAAGAAGCTCAGTGTATTTCACCCTGCCACGCTCATGTCCGAGCCTTCTCAGCAACTGCCCTGAAAACGCCAGCAGTCTCTCCCGTAAACGGAGGGCCAGCTCGTGCTCACGAGGCCAAAGTTCACTTGGAAGATCCCGTCTTGTGCTTGTCTCGAGAGCTTCAGCGCCTTATCTTTGCGCTCATGCACGTTGGCGCTCTGCCTGACTTCTCTTGGACTTTGCGGCACCCTGGCGTGCGCCTTGATGCTGCGCTGAGCCTGAGAGCTTTGGCTGCGCAGCAGGAGCGCTGCCGTTAACTTACTGTGCTGGCTGAGGCCGCACAGTTATCTGTTGTTATCTGAAAAGCTGTCTCCTTGCTGGCCACTTGTGACCCGCCGTTGCTGTGAGTATCAAAAGCACTGGCCAGAGCTGGAGCCTCCGGTTACCGTTAGTGCCGTAAGCTCTGCAGAATCCTAGGCAGATGCTCTTCCCTTCCGCCCTTCGTCCTTCCGCGGCTTTATTGTGCTCTGCCCGTCCCGCTGCTGCCTCCTCCTTCAGGCCCAGCTCTGCTCTGTGCCGGGCTGGCCACAGCTGGCCTGTTGAGAAGGTGGTGGGGTCCTTATCAGCTTGTGTCATAAGCAAGTTCTGAGCAGGACTCGCACACGTGCTGCTTCGAGGGGAGATAAAATCAAGCCCAGTGTTGACTCTTGCCTTTCCTGGGTAACTCGACCTTTCATTAGCAGAAATCCTTTGCTTTTAAGAAGCTGCTCGTATGTAATGCAGTGACTTAAATGCAGCTTGGCCACCAGCATTTGGGTTATCCTTTTCCATGGAGTCTGTGGACAGAAGGGCAGTTTTTGAGCTTTCGGGATGCGCTTCGACGTAGCGTGAGGAAGAACACTTCAGGTTTTAAGAGTTGTTAGGGTGGTTCTGTAAGCATCGGCCCTGCCCTTCCCTTGCTTAGAGTGTCTGGCCTGAATTCCCGCAGTGTCGGATGATTCCTGTCATGGATTGGTGTTTTCAGGAGAGGACTGAGGTCGATAAGGCATAGGGGATGCCATAGGGCCCCTGAGCGGGGAGCGCCAAAGAGGGACGTGTCCTGAACGGGAGCGCTGGCGCCCTGTGGGCCCTCCCGCTAACGTTGCTGCAGTGACCGACGCTGCGCGGGTGCCCGTTCCCGTTTCAGACGCACCCAAACGTGGACAAGAAGCTCTTCACGGCGGAATCGCAGATTGGGTTGAAGAACCCCGAGAAGTCTTTCCCTCTTAACAGCGATGTGGGCGTGCTCAAGTGGCGGTTGCAGACCACCGAGGAGTCCTTCATCCCGCTGACCAGTGAGTTGGACTGCGTGTGGCCTCTTGGCAGCCCCGGGTCCCCTGCCTGTCCCCTGCCTGCAGCAGCCTCTGGGCCGTGAGGCTCCGCGAGACTGCCGGCACGCGCCTCCCAAGGTGTTTCTGCTGAGACCAGTGTCCTGCTCCCGCACGGGCATCTTTTCCTCGTCGTCTGCCTCGCTCACAAACGCCACGTGGCTTCAGCTGCTCTTCTTGTCTCCTCAGTTAACTGCTGGCCGTCGGAAAGTGGGAACAGTTGTGACGTCAACATTGAGTATGAGCTGCAAGAGGAGAGCCTAGAGCTGAATGATGTGATCATCACGATCCCCTTGCCGTGAGTAGCGTTGCACGTACGGACAGAGCGTCCCCCTGCCTGGCCCGTAGCTGTGGCTGCTCCCCTCGCTCCAGGCACGTGAGCTCGTGTGGCTCCCTCTCGCCCGCTCTAGGTCTGGTGTCGGGGCCCCGGTGATCGGGGAGATCGATGGCGAGTATCGCCACGACAGCCGGAGGAACCTCCTCGAGTGGTGCCTGCCAGTGATCGATGCCAAAAACAAGAGTGGCAGCCTGGAGTTCAGCATAGCCGGGCAGCCCAACGACTTCTTCCCGGTGCAAGTCTCCTTCGTCTCCAAAAAGAACTATTGCAACATACAGGTAGGGCCGCTGCCCGCGCGGGACTTGCTGTTAGAGCTCTGTGCGCTGCGGGCACTCGCAGCACTTGCTCTCTCCTGCTGTTAATGCTGAGGAGAGCTGCCCTTTGCCACCCAGGCAACCTTGGTGGCATCTGCTTGCCACCAACACTGCTACCTCCTCCATAGCTCCCGAGTGCTGCTAACGTCAGTGCGGGCTGCTTTAATGAGACAGCTTCCCGGGAACGCAGACCTTCCCTGTGGCACGGACCCCTTCTGCAAGGCAGAGGGCTCCCCTTAGCCGTGTGCCCGTCTCTGGGTGGATTAGGAGGTTCTGCTGGACTGCGGCGCTCTCCACGCGCTGACCTCTGTGTGTTGTCTCCACAGGTTACCAAAGTGACCCAGGTAGAGGGGAACAGTCCTGTACGGTTTTCCACTGAGACCACCTTCCTGGTGGACAAGTACGAAATCCTGTAGTGACAGCTGTGGGCAATCGCAAAGGAAATTTTTAAATTAAAAAAAAAATAAAAGAGGCCGAAGTTTATTCTGAATGTCTGGAACGCCGCAGCCCTCTCTGCTAAGACTTGTGGCTCCGTCCGCCATCGGCAGCGTTCCTGCCTCACAGACATTTGCGGCAGAGTATTGACAGGAGCACGGGGGGAAAGGCTGCACATTTCTTTGGCAGATTCTCACTGGCCAGCAGAAAAGGGAGCTCTCCGCGGACGACCCGGCTGCGACGCTTGCCCTTCTCCTCGCACGAAGCCGCCCGGAGCTCGGTCCCAGAGCATCCCAGACATCATCATTCTCATCCCTTTCTAGGCCTCACACACCCTTCTCTTGTTGGTGCTGCCATTTGATTTCTCCTCTGCCTTCAACTTGTGTTTCTGTGGATGAAAGCAGGCATTGGGATAACGTGCACGAGGGCATTCTGCTTCACTGGACCCTTCCGTCTGGCAGGAGGGGAACAGGTTGGCTCTGATTCCCAAGGTGGGCGTGTGGCAGGAGTGTGGGGCGGCAGGGAGTCCCGGCTGCCCTGCTCGCTCCCCATGCCTCTCTGCCACCCTTGGTTGCCCCTTGGGCCCTGCCGTGCTGCGTGGACCTGGGTTTGAGTTCACTGGGGTGTGTGGGGTGCATCGAGGGGCCCTGGAGGCAGCGGAGGTGGCACCGCTGCCCCTCTGGTTGTGGCCGCGAGGGAAGGGGCACCGAGCAGCAGGGCAGGCTTTGCTGCCGGGGGCAGGTCTCAAAAGGGGCTTCGTTCATCCAGAACCGTGTGCGTATCCTGAGTCGAGCCGCCCGTGCTGCTCGGGGAGGTGAGGCCCTCTGCGTGCCGCTGGGTGTGGGGACCGGTCTGTTCCCCTGCCTGCAAGTTGTGCTAGGAGCTGCCTGGAACGAGTGTCTTCTCTCATCCCTGTGCCCTGGAGGAGGAGGGAAGGGGTAGTTTCCCGAACATGTGCTGGGCTGGCCTGACCTCCGCGGAGGCTGAAGGGCTCCTGCGCCGGCTGCTTTCCCGGCAGGGCCGGCCCGTCCGCCCGCCCCGCGGCTCTCGGCGGGACTCCGCGTGCGGAGCCGCCGTAGCCCCGCGGCCACTGCCGCTGCTGCTCCCTCCTCACAAGCCCCACAGCCGCGTCCTGCCCCGGCAAGAGCCCGTGCTCGGGGACAGCTCCCGGGACCATCTGCCAAAGAAGTGAGCAGCCTCCCCCCGGTAGCAGCGCGCGGCGGCGAGGGGACGAAGCCCTGCAGCTGCCCTGGCAGGGAAGGCAGCGACCCTGCTCTGTAGCGAGGTAGGCGATGAACCCCATAACTCACCTGTGTTCGAGAGTTGCTTGTCTGTATGATTTTAAATCGGAGTCGAGGTTAGTTCCAACATCTGAGGAGCATTTTTTCTTAAATTTCAAGGGTGTTAACTAAAAAAGAAAAAAAGAAACACAGTTTTTGTAACCCTGTACAATAATGGCCTAGGGAATAGGACACATTCCAGTGTATACAAGACTACAAATTCTTTAATCAAATAAAGAGTATTATAAAAGGAAACTGGCTGTAATTCCTCTCACTTGCCTTGCTTTCCCAGCGTACTTGCCCTAGACGACACGGGAGATGGTCTCAGACCGGCACAGAAGAGGTGAGGATTAGATGAGCACAATGTCAGGCTTGTTGCCCCTAAAAACAAGCTTGCCTAAGAATCGTGTGCAGGATTCATTCTCCTGCAATCGCCTCGGAGCTGCCCGAGACAAGCATCTGAATGGGCTCTTGTGCTGCTACGTTTGCCTGAGCTCTGCTGCCTTGTGCTGCCTGGATTTTAAATGCAGCGCTGGGGCCAGAAGTAGCACATTCGAAATACGAGAAAACGGGGAGGGTTTTCACGTTCACGTTAGGCACCTTGTGGGGTTTCTGTTTGTTTTGCGGTGTTTTCCTCGGCAGCGCTGCGCGTACCAGAGCCAGCCGGGGTAGTGCTCGGAGCCCCACGCAGCTCGGAGCAGGAATTCTTGGCACCTTGCTGCGTGAGGGGCTGTGTCAGCTCCTGGGAGCCCCAACGTGGGCTGGGCTTCGTGTTCAGAAGGAGCAGGCAGCGAAACGGAAAGCAGCCCTGGAGCGAGCGGAGAGGTGAGCACTGCGGGTGCCGCTGTCGCGGGCGCTGCAGCGGGCCGGGAGCGGCACGGGGCCGCGAGCAGGACCGCGAGCGGCGCCCCGAGTGCATGGGGACGTGCGGAAACACCGGGGTGCCCTGGTGCCCGCACGGCGCAGCAGCAGCCGTGTCCCCATACAGAGCAGTGTGCAGGGCAGTGACCCGCGGGACGGTGCTCTGGGGCTGCCTGTCCTCCAGTGACACCACGCAACTGGAGTCGCTTCAGGGCGCAGCGGGCGACTGGAGCCGTGGGAAAGGGCAGAGCGGCGGGAGTGGCCGCTCTTGCCTCCACACATGATGGGGCGTCTGCCTGGGCCAGCCAGGCTGGGGTGTCTGCAGCCTGGGGGATGAGAAGGAGCCCAGGGAGGCCCCTCAGGCCCCGCTACAGGAGCACCGGCCTGGGGCAGGGCTGCGGCTCCAGCTTGCGCTAGGGCATCACAAGCTGTGTCCTGCCCTGCAGCGCTGTCGCTGGCCGGGAGCCACTGCCACGGGGAGCCGTGCTGGGCAGCAGTGATGGGGTGCGTGGGGCCGGCCGGGCACGGGGATGCCGCGGGGCCGGGGCTCCTGCCCGTGCCCCAGCAGAGCCCCCGCGGCGGCCGCAGCTGCAGGCGCCCCCAGCCCTGAGCTCAGCGGGTGCGGCCGGGATTCCTGCGCTCCCGCGGGCCTCGCGCAGCCTCCTGGCCGCCGTGTTGCTGGCGTGTTGTGTCTCCGCAGCAACGCGGCCCACGGCGCGGCCGCCCCCACTGCCGGCGCGATGGGACCGCGCGGCAGGATGGCGGGGGCGGCTGCGCCTTGGGAAATGCGGCCGCGGGATGGGGAATCCCGCTGCCTCCCCACGTCCCCGCGGGCAGGAAGCAGTGTGGGGCAGCCGGGACCCCCGACCCTCCGCTCCCCCCTCCTCGCGGCCGGGCACCAGCGGCGCCTGCCTCTCCCAGGCGCTCCGGGGCCGGAGGCTGTGGGAAGGGGCAGCGGCTCTGAGCGCGCAGGCAGCTGGGCTCCTGCGCGCAGCCAAGTTGGCCACCGGCCCGCGTGGATGTGCAACGCGCTCCGTTACTCGCCCACGCAGTCTCCTCCCATGACTCATCCCGACGGCAGGGAGGGACGAACAAACCGGCACTTGGTGGCCCCGCGTGCCCGGCCCCTGCTCCGTTCAGCGCGCGTGGGCTGCTCGCGCCCGGGCAGGGCCAGCCCAGCAGGCTCCGCATTGAGAGGCTGCCCCAGGGATGCAGCTGGGTGGCAGCAGCTGTGTCCTCTGCATGGGCTGTCCCCGGGAGCACAGCCCCTGCGCGTGACCCGGCCCCGCGTCGCCCAGGTGAGGCCTGGCTACCCGGCAGAAGAAAGGGCTTTTTGTCGCTCCCGCTCCTCCTCGGCGCCTGCGGGAGGGGGTCCGGCAGGGCTGCACGCCCGGGGCAGCGGGGGCCCTTTGCTATTTTGCGCTCCGTGAGCCCGACCTCTTGGCATTTGCTGCAGCCGCCTCTCCCCGGCGGGAACAAGTCGGGCGTTCTGCTGCCCGGCCGAGAAGAAAGGCCGCCTTGTCCCGCGCGGAGGTGGGGCGCCGGCGCCGCGGCCCTCGCCGCATTCCTGCTGCTGCCGCGCAAGGGGCCGCATGGCGCCGAGGTGAGCGCGCTGCTGGGCACTGGGCATTGCTGCCCCTGCAGGGGCTGCACGTCGGGCACCTCGGCGGGACGGGGCACCCACACCCTGGGGCTGGATATGCTGGGAAGGGGTTAACACCGCTCAGGATCCCACCTTGGCCCCGCTCCCTTCCGATGCGGGAGCCCGGCCCCTCGGCGCCTTTCCTCCTTCCCGTGCAGCGGCCGCGGGGCCTCGGCGCAGGCGAAGGGGCGCAGGGCCTGCTTGGCGGTGCCGGCGGGCGCGCGGGGACATGGGCACGGTGCCACGCAGGCTGCCGCTCTGTGGCCAGCCCGGCACCAGGCGACAGGTAAGGGTGACGTGAGGGGCTGCATGGAGCTGCGGGGTCTGGGAGCCTCTGCGCTGCCCCTGCCCATCAGGAAGGTGCCGAGCATCCTGCGCCGCTAAGCACAGCCGCTCCCAGCCGTGATCCCCGGGAGCTCCGGGTGTGGGGCGGCCGGCACCGCTCCTATGGAGCAGAGCAGAGCGGATGCCTGGGCTGTGTCCCAGCCCTGCAGCCGGCCCTGCTGTTTTCCAGCGCTTCATTTTTTCCGCAGTGTGTAATAGCTGCCCGTTCGCCCCCGCTCCCTCTCAGCCGGGCGCTGCGGGACAGTCCCTCGTCGTGGTCCGGGGTCTGCGTCACCCCAGGGTGCCGTCACAGGGGCCAAGTCCTGTCCAGAGCGGCATTGCCGGGAGCCGCTCCCTGTGGAGCGCGCGGCGCTGCCAGCTGCCCAGGACAGCACCTTGTCTGGGGTGCAGCCCCCGCACGGGGCAGCCTCTCTCCCAGGGCGCCAGGGAAGGGTTAAGCGCGGACGCCCGGTCTGGCGGAAGGGAGGGACACGGGCGCAGACGGTAAAATTAGTAACCCCGGAGCGTCCCGGCTGCCAAGGCGCAACAAGTGGCCTGAGCGCCGCGCGCAGGAAGTTGCTGGCTCGCGGCATCGCTTCCCTCCCCAGGCTGCTGTGCTTATGCTGCGGGGCCAGGCAGCGGTGTGGCAGCCCCCGTGGCACACGGGCACGCGGTCCTGCGGCACAGGCGAGTGGCAGGAGGCCCGAGTGGGTGCGCATGGGTGGCCCTGCTCTGCTGGGAGCTGCTCTCAGCAGCGCGTGCAGGGTGCCGGGAAGCTCCTGGGTCGGCAGGGCACCACACGGAGCCCTGCTGTGCTCAGGACAGCCCTGGGAGAGGCGCCGGCCTGGATGGGTGTTGGGCTGGGCAGGTTTGCAAGGCGGATGCTCAGGCTGCGAGGGCCAGAAGGTCTTGGCACGTGTGTCGCTCGGTGTCACCCATCCTGTTTGTGGCAGCCCCCAGCAAGCCCCTCTCTGACGTCCTCTCTCCCCGCAGCAGCTGCCCCTGCTGAAGAGCACCACGCGTGTGCACGTGGGCACCATGGATGCATCGAGCCGCAGCACTGCCAGCCCGGCCCGCAGGATGCAGACCATCATCCAGGTGGGCACGTGCATGGGTGCCATGGGGTCTGAGCTTCCTGCTGCCCTGCAAGACCTGCCCAGAGCTGTCCCTGCTCCACAGCTGCCCCATGCAGGCTCTGGGGCTGCCCCCCAGGCCTCTCCTTGGCCCAATCCTATTATGGGATCGGCACTAAAGCTAATTGAGCTAAGCGGCTGCTGCCACAGATCCCGTTAGATGCAGCCCAAGCCCCATGGAGCGGCTCTGCAGGGCTCCCCTGGCTGCTCACTGCAGCTGTGGGTCCTGGCAGTGGGCAGGCTGGGTGCAGGCGCTGTGGGGACGAAGCACTGCACGTGCCCATGGTGCTCCTTGTCCTGCTGGGGCTGGACTGGCTGGGCAGCTCTGCAGCCCTCCCTGGCTGTGCCCCATGGCCCAAACCCCACAGCCTCTTTGTCCCTGCAGAACAGCCCCCTAGACCTCATTGACACTGGGCAGGGGCTCAAGGTGCAGACGGAGAAGCCGCACCTGGTGAGCCTGGGCAGTGGGCGCCTCAGCACGGCCATCACGCTGCTGCCACTGGAGGAAGGTGAGTGCCCCCCACACCGGCGCCACCCGCACCTGCTCGCGGGGCCGGCGCTCGGCCGCGGATTAGAGCGCGGATTAAACGCGGCAGCCAGCTGCTCCTCCGAGCGGTTGCTCCTGGCAACGGCGGGCACTGCTGGAGCCGCCGGTGGCTCCCGGGTGGCCAACGTCCCCAGGGGGGCTGCCTGTGCACTGAGTGTGCCTGGCCTCTGCTGCACCGGGGGCAGTCGGGGGCCTCAACGCGCTGTGGGGACGCCGCGGGTGGCGATGGAGGGCATGAGGTGGGTGCTGAGCTGCTCCTCTGCTCCTAGGCCGGACCACGATCGGCTCGGTGTCGGGAGACATCGTGCTGCAGGGCCCCGGGCTGGCGCCCCAGCACTGCTACATCGAGAACACGCAGGGCTCGCTCACGCTGCACCCCTGCGGCAACGCGTGCGCCATCGACGGCGTGCGGCTGCAGCGGCCCACGCGCCTCACGCAAGGTAGGGCAGCAGCGGCCGCCGCGAAGGCCTCCTGTGCATGCGGAGGGCGACACGGGTGCGGGCGCCCGTCCGGGCCCCTCCTGTGGCTCCTCCGCC